TAAAGACACTGACTCTAAGGCCTGATGGGGTATTAAAGATGCACTGACTCTAAGGCCTGATGGGGTACTAAAGACACTGACTCTAAGGCCTGATGGGGTATTAAAGACACTCACTCTAAGGCCTGATGGGGTATTAAAGGCAAGGATGGGGAGTGACCAGAAGAAAGTGACAAGAAGGTCACAGGGAAATAGAAGAAGTAAGAAGACTTGGGCAGAGGAGGACATCAAATTGCCTTGGGTTCTCCGTGAGAGCACCTTCCTTTGAAACTTGGTTTTAGCCACTCACTTCTCAGGGACCTCAAGCAAGCAAGCTCGTGGCTTTGCCATGCTTCTATTTTGTCTCGTGTAAAATGTGAAGAATAAGAGTTGACCCCAACGAGTTCACTCATTCAACAATCACCTCAACACTTGTTGGATATGTTTGTGACTGTTATGATTTTTATTGTTTTATCTTTATATCCTCCAATGTTTCCAGAGTTTCTGGGTTTTTTGATGAACATTCGGTCATTTAAATTAGTGAAAGAAATACCCATTTGCTTCTCAGAGTCACGTTTCCTTGCATCACAGTTTACTCCCGGGTTCAGCACGAGGATTTAAGTACAGCATTGCCATTAAGTACAGCACAATGTCAGGCAGGCTTGGCTCAAATGGGAGTCCAGGAATGAGTGAGGTGTGCGTCAGCAAAGCCTCATCAGATGGTTTAGCTTCAGTATTCCTCATTGTAGGGATATTCTTCCATGTTTACTGTCCTGCAGCAACAAGCATGGAGAAAACGTTAGTGTCATCTAATGGTGTTTTGTTTTGTTTTGTTTTGTTTTGTTTTGTTTTGTTTTGTTTTGTTTTGTTTTTTTAGACAAGGTCCCTTGTATCCCAGTCTGGCTCTGAACTCTACACAGCAGAGAACAACTTTGAACTTATGATCCTCCTGCCACCACCACCAGAGGACTGTGATTAGAGGCAGGTGCCACCGGGCCTAGTTTTATTTTTTTTAATTATTTCCTTTATGTATTGAGATTATATATGATCATATCCCTTCCCTCTTCCTTTTCCTCTCTCCAAAACTTCCCATATGCCTCTCCTTGATCTCTTAGGAACGTGTATGTATATACATAAACATACATGTATGTAACGACAATTAATGAAAAAAGAGGCCATGGATTTGGAAGAGGCCTGGTTTTATGTACTACTGGGGATCCAACTCAAGTGTCCATGCATACCAGAAAAACACTCTCTCAACTGAGCTGCTTCCCCAGTCCAGGCATTCTTACATGGAATAAAAAAGAATGTACTTTCTATGTGCTTTCTCAGCCTCTCCACACCCCATTCCCTGGAATGATTGTTGGGGAATATTATTTTAAGGTGTGTTGCTTTTGTTTATGTTGCATTTGTTTAACTCTGTGAAGCTGTGTTACTGTGCCTGTCTAAAACACCTAGTGGTCTAATAAAGAGCTGAATGGCCAATAGCAAGGCAGGAGAAAGGATAGATGGGGCTGGCAGGCAGAGAGGATAAGTAGAAGGAGAAATCTGGAGGAAGGAGATGGAGGAATGAGAGAAGAAGGAGGAGGACTTCAGGGCCAGCCACCAAGCTACCCAGCCACCCAGCTACACAGCCAGACACAGGTTAAGAAGGAAAGAAAAGGTATACAGGAATAGAGAAAGATAAAGGCCCCTGAGGCCAAAGGTAGATGGGATAATCTAAGTTAAGGAAAGCTGGCAAGCAACAAGCCCAGCTAAGGCCAGGCATTTATAATTAAGAATAAGCCTCCATGTGTGATTTATTTGGGAGCTGGGTGGTGGGCCCCTCAAAAGAGAAAAAACAACTAACAACAAACTGTGACACATAAGTGGCTCCAATACCATGACCTTCCCTCAAACTGATGAACAGAGCATTTGAAAAGAGGGTAGGGAAGTATGCAGTGGCCAGGGTCTCAGAAACAGGCCCACTGCCAAGGCCCTCATACATACTGTTCATTCCATATTACAGAAAAGTAAGAAATCATGATGAAATCAATAGATTGGTTGTTGTATTATAGTTGTTGTATTAAACAAGGCAAGATAAGCCATGAGCTAGGATCTCTGATAAATCCTAAACTTGTATTCAATGGATATTTGCTGTATTTGGTATTATCATTCCTACTCAGTAAATAAGAAATCGGAATTGGCAAAGTTATAAATCTATCCTAGACTTCATAGCTACTGAATGACCAATCTATTCCCTCCACTCACTTATAAGTATCTCACATTACCTATTTGATAATCAAAAGGCATCATAATCATGTCTCAAGCCAAATCCTTCACTTCACAGATGACAATTCTGCTCTTGAATTGCTCATGCAAAAACAAAGCAAGCAAAACCATATTTGTTCATTTTATTTGGCAAATTCAGTTGGCTGTTTTCTATTGGAAGCCAGGTCCAATTATTGTCCTCTCTTCACAAGATTGTTATAGTAGGCTCCCTGTGGTCTCTCAATGCAGAAGTCAGCTTGGAACTTTTCAGACACATCACATCCTCTCTTGGCTTCTAAGTGCCTTCCTTTCTAAAATCAAAATCCTTCTCACAGTGTGTACCAGCTGCATGCCCTTAGCTTTAAGGCTGAATTCCTTTCTTCCCACAATAGCCTTTACTCATCTGCTGCAGCTTCCCTGGCCCCCTTTTTCCAGTGCCCTAAATCCACTACCTCAGGGCATTTGCACTCACTGCTGCAATCGCCAAGAAAGGCGTTCTCCTAATACCACATGCTGCATCTTTTGCCTCTTTCAGCTGTGACTTGATATATCAGCAAAACTGCCCCCTGGGTCATGACATATAAAACATCTACTCCAGCAGGATGCACCACTTCCCATACTTTTTACCTATTTTACTTTTCTCTATGGAATTTGTTACTGTCTGACATACATACTTAAAGTTACTTCAGATGGTGCTACAATACAAGCTTGGGAAGCATGAAGTTTGTATAGTGTGCTGTGCCAAACACCTAAAACATGCTGGCACATAGCACATTGCAGGTAAGTCATTAATGAATGAGTGAGTGGATAAGTGCTTCTGCCTCCAGAAAAGGAAGAGTGTTGTGGAATACTAGTTGAAGATATGTTACATTCATTTGTGTTGTGGAATATTTGTTTGATGATGCAAAGATGTGTTGCATTCTTTTATGTGGCATTTGTTTAACTCTGTAAAGCTGTGTTACTTTGCCTGCCCCAAACACCTGACCGATCTAATAAAGAGCTGAAACACCAATAGCTAGGCAGAAGAGAGAAATGGGTGGGGCTGGCAGGCAGAGAGAATAAATAGGAGGAGAAATCTAAGGAAGAGAGTGAGGAGTGAGAAGAGAGGAAATGGGGAGGAGGACACCAGGGACCAACCACCTAGCCATACTGCCAGCCATGGAGTAAGATGGAAAGAAAGATATATAGAATAAAGAAAGGTGAGAAGCTCAGAGGTAAGACATAGTTAAAGAGAAATGGGATAATTTAAGTTAGAAAAGCTGGCTAGAAACAAGCCAAGCTAAGGCTGGGCATTCATAAGCAAGAATAAGTCTCCACATATTTATTTTGGATCTGGGTGGTGGGCCCCCAAAGAGTGAAAAAACCAACTATAGAACATCATGTTCTTTCTTAAAATTCTGGCTTCAGATGCAAAATTCATAGAATTAGCAGCAATTAGCAGTCATGACTTCCCATGACTCAAACTTTACTTTTTCACAACTTCCAGAAGATAGTATTTGAAGATAAAGTTATCCTGGATGTCTTCCAACCCTTCTAGTTAATCCTCTGCAGCTTCAGAAAGCTCGGATATAACCCTACCCACTTACTCAGGCAGCAGGCAGGCCCTCCAGTTTCTGTTGAAGCTGAGGATAGTGGCCATCTCCTGGTCACTCAACTGGAAGTCAAAGACCTGGAAAGACAAGAGTCCCAAAGCTCCTTAGCAAGGAAAGGGCTGGCACCTGAGGCTGTACATAAGCTCTCACTACATACAAACCATTTCTAGTTTAAGAACTGAGTTATTTCTAGGGTTCAGAGTCACAAAATCTTAGTTTGCACAGTGTCTAATCCTTGAAAGACACATGGATCCTTCCAGAAGGACATTTCTTCAAGTCCAGTCCATTCAGCTAAAAGGTTGCTAGGAAGGCCAGGGCAGTCTGCACTTAGGCAGGATAGTCTATGGCCCTTGATCTAAGTGCTCATGGGAAAGCAAGGTTCTTCTCTGTGCATAAGGTACACCTATGCTCAGAGCTGACAGGGCTTCTCCGGCCCCACCCTCATCTCATTTGTGGCTCACTGGTGCTTTATCTCAGCTCTGTTGAGGCCAGTTCCCTGGCACAAGAGTTCATAAGATGATGAGAAGTTAGGGACGCCACTGATGCTGCAGGATAGGATGAGAAGCCTACTGAGAGTCCTCCGATACATACGTAGCAGAGGGTCAACCAGGATCTTACCTGAAAGTTCTCAAGTATCCGTGCTGGTGTCACAGACTTGGGGATCACCACCACATTCCTCTGAATGTGGAACCGAATCAGAACCTGTGCACAAAAAGTGAAGTGAAGGCATGTGTTCACTAAAAGAGGAGAATTGTGGTTTAAATGAAAATGAACCCACAGGTCCATGTGTTAGAAAACTTGGTTCTCAGTTAGTGGAACAGTTTGGGAAGGATTAGGCGAGGCCTTGTTGGAGAAAGTATGTCACTGGGGGCAGGCTTAAGGTTTCAAGACTCATGTTGTCCCAGTGTGCTCTCATCTTCCTGCTTGTGGGTTGAGATCTGCTCCAGCACCATGCCTGCCCGACTGCTGCCATGTTTCCTGCCATGATGGTGATGGGCTCCTATGCCTCTGGAACTGTAAGCTCCAAATAAACCCTGTTTTCTGTAAATTGCCTTGGTCATGGTGCCTTTCACAGCAATAGAAAAGGAACTAATACAAGGACTATCTCCGCAGCTCCCTATGGCTTCTTTATTTCCCTTGATCCTGAAAGATACACCATGATTTCTCCAGTTAGAAGTGAGGACGTGGCAGGGAGCTGATGAAGAGTGGTGGTTCTCATTGGACACCACCAACTGGATTTCCCAAAGACGCCAATAGACTTACATTTCCCACTTCTTCCTCTCTAAGGGGTTAAAAGAAGGCAATATAAAGAATAAAGCAAAACTATAAAAATGTATTGCAAAAAAAAAAAAACCCAAACAACAACAACAAAAACACCACACACCTTTAATCCTAGCATTTGGGGGGCAGAGGCTGGCAGATCTCTATGAGTTTGAGAACAGCCTGGTCTATAGAGTAAGTTCTAGGACAGTCAGGGATATACAGAGAAACGCTCAAAAAACAAAAACAAAGGGATTGCAGGATTAAAATGGGAGCAGCATATTTTACCTGGGCTGAGGTTTTTTTGTGCTTTGCAGCAATCTCTTTAATCTTCGGGTCTTCTAGTAGTGAAGGGTCTTCCGGCTTGGCCCTAAAGGCAGAAAGATAGCTGGAGTGAATAAATCACCAAGGCTCTTCCATGCACTGAATGAACCCCACTTCCATGACAGTGTCAAGGCTGAGCACCACAGCCTTCTCCAACTGCAAAGCAGGCAGGGGAGCCACCTGGAAGCATCGTATCCTTCCTGGGGTCCCATCCATAGGCTCTGGAGCCTCAGGAATTTGTAAGCATGCTCTAGCACTAAATAGCAGGAATGGAGCACTCTTAAGAGGTAAGGCATCCTGTCTTTAAAAAAAAAAACAAAACAAAACAAAACATTGTGCCCCCCCCCCCAAATCCGATTTGGGTTTGTCAGATATACTGCTATAGACACATTTTTTTTCCAGGTGCATAAGAAATTCATACCAGCCAGGCAGTGGTGGCACATGCCTTAATTCCAGCACTGGGGAGGCAGAGACAGGAGGATCTCTGTGAGTTTGAGGCCAGCCTCAGCTACAGAGTGAGTTCCAGGAAAGGCTCCAAAGCTACACAGAGAAAACCTGTCTTTAAAAACAAAAAAAGAAAGGAAGAAAGGAAGGAAGGGAGGGAGGGAGGGAGGGAGGGAGGGAGGGAGGAAAGAAAGAAGGAAGGAAAAAATTCATATCAATACTAGCCAATTATTAAACACTAATTTTAAGAGTGATAAAAGAAAGTCACCACTCTGAAGCCTCACCAAGGCCTATGTGGAGAGCCCAAGGGACTGTAGGCTGTGACAGTGATGCCCTTGGAGTGGCAGTACTGGATCAGTTTCTCCTGGGTGAGGTATGGGTGACACTCGACCTGCAAGAGAAAACACCTGTCACTAGGGAAGTGGGCCTTCCTTCCTGAGTGGCTCAGAGGGAACTCCAGGCACAAGAAAAGACCAACACAGGCCAGATACAACCCACTGATAGATGTGCTACAAACCAGACCAAAGATCTGCCTCCCACCTCCCCGAGCATCCTGAACACAGGCCTCAGAGATGAGACTCAGTAGATAGTATGGAAATTGCCTCCCAGTGTGGAAGCAGTCACAGAGCAGGACCCTTCAGCAAAGAGAATTTACCTGGTTGGTCACTGGCTTGTGTTTCAGTCCAGGCTTGTTCAGGAGCCTTTCAATCTGCAAGTGGTTGAAGTTGGAGACGCCCAGGGCTTTCACCAGCCCCTGGTCCACCAGTTCCTCCATGACCTGTCACAGTAAGGAAGACTGATGGTTGTAGGAGGACACAGGGATGCTGGCTTGGCTTAGTCCTTGGATAGGAGGAATGGATAAACAACTCTCCAGGTTAGGTAAGCTGCGACACTAGAAATGTCAGTCCTGACAGCCGATGCCCGTCAAGGGGCAGATGCTACTAGGATTGTATGCGCTCTGGGCTCACCTCACCCAAATCTGCATAACCTGAGAAATAGGCTCCCTGGCTTTTTCTCCCCCTACTGTGTGTGTGTGTGTGTGTGTGTGTGTGTGTGAGAGAGAGAGAGAGAGAGAGAGAGAGAGAGAGAGAGAGAGGTTGGGGACTGATGGTAGGGTCATTCAGGCACTCGCTACATCTCTGGCTGCTTTTCTTTTCATTTTTAAAATTGAGACAGGGTCTCTCTAATTATCCAGATTAGCCTTGAACTTCCTCTGCAGGCCAGGTTAACCTCATCTTGTGATCCTCCTGCCTCTGCCTCCTGCACCTGGGTTACAGGCCTGTGTCATCAGAACCAGCTGCCTATCTGGGTTCTGACCCCCACTTTCCTCTGCCATGTAGCTTGTTTCCCAGTGGGAAGACATGCAGACATATCAGACCCTAGCAAGGCGCTCAACCTAGGGCTAGGTGGGTCTGAAATCTGGCCAATTGACTACTTGCCCCAACCATGACTCTATGTTAAAGGGTATTTCTAAAAATAATTTTGCCCAGAATGAGCAATTCACAAATTTGTCAAGATATCATCCCTGACAGTGGCAGCCACAAACTCAACATGTACTTGTAATTCATTTATTGCAAGTCTCTGCCGAGGAGTTTGCAGAATATAAAAGTACACAGTGTGTGTCTGTCAGTGAACCATCAGCCTTCATAATGAGGCTCTTTGGGCTCATTTGACAGTGGGCATAACCCTGAGCATCAGTGTGGGAAGGAAGGAATCCACGTGGGTCCCAGAATGACAGGATAAGCAGAGTTTAAATTGGGCCTGAAAAAAAAAAATAGCGCAAAGGAGGGAATCCATGAACAGAGTGCAAAAGAAGTCAGAAGCAACACTAACAGTGGAAACCGTGAGAACTGGGAACAGTTTCTCAGCCTTCCTGCAACTTGGAACCCTCTGAAAGCTTAAAATAAAAATGTTGCTGGGTGTAGTGGCACATAACTTTTATCCCAGCCAGGAGGCAGCCTGGTCTATATAGTGAGTTTCAGGGCAGCCAAAGCTACATAGTGAGATCTTGCCTAAAAAAAAAAGTCTTGCGGTAACATTCCAGCCCCACCCCCAAGCTTCTTACTGACTTCCTCTGTGACACAGCATTGGCATTAGGATGTTCAAAACTCCATGTTGAACTTAGTGTACAAAGTTGAGAGCCACCAGGCTGAGTGAAGAAGGACTTTGGTAGGCAGAACTGTCCAGCACTGACCAGGAAGTGGAATGAGATAATTTTAATGTGTTTGTGTCCTAAATTAACTTTGGTTTGCATGTATGACCCACCCTACCTTCTTTACATTAATTTCCCCTCCCCTCTTCTGGAGTTCAGTCAGTAAGGTTTCCACTGGATTGGTTGTTGTTCCAAAGGAACTGCTCCATGCTGGCCTGGTTAATCCTGCTGTTCTCTAATCAACACCTACAGCTTGTCTACATGTGCTCTAAAAAGGTTCCAGTTAGCACTAATTATTGGATTCAGCCTTAGGACATAGCACTAGGCAAGTCAGGGATGTCCTTAGGTATCTGACTGTGACAGAATTGTCATAGTTAATTCAGTATAAGAACCAAAGCTTGGGTGGTCTCCACATCTCACTATGAAATATTACTGAATTATTACATGGTCACACATGACAGTTATCATGTCAAGTTATTAATAATAACTTGTTTTTGTGCAAAAATGAATGCCACACAGACCATTCTTTGTTGTTTACTCCATGTGTATAAAACCACCCTATTGTTCATTAAAAGCCACCATCAAAGCAGGTGTCGTTTTATTGTTGCTGGTCTCTTTAGAAGCCTTTAATTTTTCCTTTTCCCATCCAGGTCAGAAAGACTCAAGGAAATCTTCAAGACCCATTATAAATATAGACAGATTTTTGAATTTTATTTTCCTGTTGTGTTAGTGACTGGACCCAGGGCCTTGTGCTGGCCCCAGATGGGGTGCCAACGGCAGACCAAGTGACCCGAGTCCTTTGGGTCTACCACCCAAGTCTACGCTGGTAAAACAACTCATTGAACTGGTTTCTCACAGGACCAAGAGTGAGGAGCCTATAGGAGCAGGGGCAACTTCAGAGCTGCTACACCACCAAAGAAAACATTTTTCCAGCAACCATTAACCCCCTACATGTCCACAAGCAAGAGGGGGGCCTGTGTGCTAACTCTTGAGCTGCTCCTGAGCCCCTGCTCTACCTCACAATCCCTGTGAACCCTCCTCCCACCCCCATTTCACGAGGGAAGGTTAGCGGGCCCAGTCTTGTGAGGGTTTCGTGTTTACGGGAGATTGTTCTGTTAAAAGAAAGCAATAAGCTGGGCGGTGGTGGCAGCGCACGCCTTTAATCCCAGCACTCAGGAGGCAGAGCCAGGCGGATCTCTGTGAGTTTGAGGCCAGCCTGGACTACAGAGTGAGTTCCAGGACAGGCACAAAGCTACACAGAGAAACCCTGTCTCAAAAGACCAAAAACCAAAAAAAAAAAAAAAGAAAAAAAGAAAAAAAAGCAATAGCCAGAGCACAGCATTCCACAACCCTAGGGCTGCCAGCCCGGCCACTATAAAACGTCAGCGGCAGCTCTGCTTCCTCTCTGTCCTTCCACTGTTACACACCGTGTTCTCCATACTATCCCGCTACCTCCAGTTAAAGTTCAGAATAGCAAAAACACTGCTGGTGGCTAAACACTTTGGGATAAACTAACCATAAAAGAATTACATTTAATGTCATTCTATCAGTTCCCTCCTCGTAGGAAAACCCGTGTAAGTCATTCTGAAGTAAGGAGATACAACCCAAATTCAGGGCTGCTGGACAAGCAACACATGAATTCTTGGGATCTCTGTCACTGCTTGTTTATGACTAGCTTGTTCACTTTTTCCGCTGTTAATGTTTGAAAGCACCCACCACCTATTTAGCTTTTGAACATTTATTTTGGACATCAAGTATTGGTCTGGGTTCTCCAAAGTAACACAGCTGGTAGATTGAATTGTTTGGGTTTTTAAAAAGCAAGGTGCTTGCTATTTTCTGATGTTTAGATATATGCTCACTGTTTGCCAAGTACAGTGCTAAAGATTTTGGTAACTGGACTTTTGAGTCAGATAGAACTGCTCTAATCTTAATTGTGTCATACCCCTGTTGCATAATTTGATGATGTCCCAATTCTTCTGGTTACTGGTTTCATCATTTGTACATAGGGAAAGTAACATTCCCTCACAGGGTTGGTGACTAATGCACCGTAATGAAGCTTTGGATGTTAGCTCTCTTCATCCTTATCACACCCTGAAGGATATAGAGCAGTAGAGTGTATTATGTGAGTGTGTTCACGGTGTGTGTGTGCAGGAACACATGGCATGGCAAGTGTGCAAAGGTCAATGGACAACCTCAGGTGTCATTCCTCACCTTTCACCTTGTGTGAGACAGGTCTCTTTGTTTTCATCTCTGCGTATACCGCACTAGCGGGCTGGAGATCTGGGGACTGTCTGTCTTTCCCTCCTATCTTGCTGTATGAGCACGGGAATTACAGACATGTGCTTCCACACCTGGCTTTGTGTGCATTCTGGATCCTTCTGCTTGTGCAGCAAGCACTGAACCACTAAGCCTTCTCACAAAAGCCCATATATAAGAATTAACTGCCTTGAAGGAGTTCAGTCTTTTCCCTAGGCTAGCTGGGTGTGGTGGTACACGCTTTTAATACCAGCAGAGGTAGGCAGATGTCTGAGTTCTAGGACAATTAGGGCTGCACAGAGAAACCCTGTCTTGAAACCCCAAAGTAATAATAATGATGATAATAATAATAATAATTTCCCTTGGCTACTCAGCTAAAGTGTGCAAGTCAAGACAGCATCCCTGTACCAAGTGCCTGCCCTTAGTGTCAACGCAGCATATGCTTACCACAAACTGAGGAACACTGTATTTCTTGTCTCAATTAAGATCCTAAACGTCACCTCAAAAACAAATGATTTTAATCCCAGAACCTGGGAGGCAGAGGCCAATGGATCTCTGTGAGCTTCAGGCTAGCCAGGGATACACTGTGAGACCATCTCAAAAAAAAAAAAGTAGATGATGCCAGATGAACCCTAAATCCAAACATGGTAAGGAAGGTAAGAAGAACTCAAGGAAATGAGACAGAATTACACACAAGGCATGTGGGCCTTTTCATACCATAATGACAACATCTCCATTGGACAGTAGAAGCTGGAACCTACCTCCCAGGCATCCAAGAATGTTATCTTACTGGTGAGGACATTGCCTTGGTCATCTTTGGGGAATAACTCCTTCCCAGGCTGTAAATACAAAACAAAATGCACATTGGCTGCACCTGCCCTATGAAGCAAGGCTCCAGAACAGTGAAATACCAAATATCAGCTTCAATACCATCTCTATCCCAACCTACCATGGTAGGTAAATCCTAAATTACAGAAACTGCTGGACTGCTTCCCGAATCTACTACTGTATGTCAAAGATGCTATCAGGAATTTCCATCACTGTGGAAATGAACGCATCGTACCTGAACCCACATGGACCCGGAGGAAATTTTAATTTCAACATCACTAGGCACGGGCTAGATCTGAATGGTACAATTTGCTGAAGACTGTAACCAGAGCCTGTCCTTGACTCCTCTGGAGGTCCAGAGCTTGGGTGGTTATCATCACCCTAGCTGTGCATGAGTGAGGGGGGCAACTGAGAACTCACAGCCCTCCAGCCCCTCACAGCAAGCAGAAGCAGGGCTCTGGGCGCTGAGTAAGGAGGGGGGGTTGTTTTGTTTTGTTAGCATGGATTTAATACTTCCCAACATCCTCATACTTGGGCTTTGCTCTGGGAAGCCACTCCCTAGGCACACTTTGCTTGGAAGGAGTGTCGAACCCTAAAATAGAATATGCAAGAATAGCCAAAGACATCTTTTGAGAGGGCATCACTGGACCTGGAATCCACAGGAAGTTGGCAGGCTTCTCCCCTGCCCCCCTCCCCCCCAGCCCTATCTCAGAGTCATAGAAGGTGTGGAGAGCAGCTCGAACCTGAAGTCCCTGGGGCCAGTGAATCAGATAGAGGTCCAGATAGTCCAGTTTCAGATCCGTGAGGGTCTTCTGAAAGGCTTCCTTTAGCAGTTTCCTCTCAAAGCAGGTGGGCCACAGCTGCAGAGCGCAACAAGGAAGCATTAGGAACTGGAGAGAAGGGGCCACGCTAAGCTCACCCTCCCTGCTCTGAGATTTACAGGCTGATCTCACCTCAAGACAAGCTATTTATATTTAACCAAATTGTCTAATTAACATACATGATCTGATATGCAAGGTTCCAAGGGCTCAGCGAGTCAGGTTATTTCCTGTGTGTTGAGGAAATTTATTTTCCTCATGATTTATTTTCCCATGCTTACCAAATTCTGTGTATTTCTTAGATCACTTAGCATTCTGATGATATTGGGGTTTAGTCCCATATCTCCAAGACACCAGACCCTAATGGTGAATTACAAGGAGTTTAAGTGGCCACTCTGTACAGTGAGTCTGTTTCTCACACCAGATGCTCTTTCCAAGTGGGTCGAGTATCCCAGCTAGTTATACCCAAACAACAACCTCACACTCCACTCGCCTCTCTCCTTTTTTAAAAATAGCATTTTATAATTCACCCTTGACTGAATTGAGATTAAAAAGGTATTCCTATGTAATGATTTAAAAAAAAAAAGCTCTCTTTACATAGCCACTGAGAACACAGTACTGAGCAGTATGGCTCAGGACCCATCCCTAAGATTTATTTTATTATTTATATGTATGTGCCTATGTACACATGTATGTGAGTGGATGCCTGTAGAGGCCAGAAGAGAGTGTGGAGTGCTTTGGAGCTTGAGTTACAGAAGCTGTGAGCCACCTCATGTTAGGTGGAACCAAATTGCAGTCCTCTGCAAGAACAGTATGCACTCTTAACCCCTGAGCCATCTCTCCAGTCCCAGGAGATGGCTTCTGACTAGGTAGAAGGATCCCACTGACAGAAAGCAAGACAGTGAAGAGCACTCGAACCTCAACGGAACCATCTTGTTATGGAAAGCTAACATTGGAGGGTGGGCCAGCAGCGGAACCTTCTCAGTACTGACTTGGAGTGTGGATCTTCACGCCCACAGATATAACAAGAGCAAGGAAGGAGTTTAGGAGAATGGTGGATAGGGCTCTTGGTATGGACCAGATTATTCTACTGGCTTTGAAGTCATGTCCACCAAGTGGGCCATTGTACCTTGCTGACAATGAAGAGGTCCTCCCGCTTCACAGCCTTCTCATTGATCTTCTCTTGGAGGGCTTCTCCTATTTCATGCTCATTGTAATACGCATATGCGCAGTCAATATGGCGATATCCAGCATCAATGGCCACCTTCACAGCTTCCTTGACTTGGCCTCGGGGAGACTAAAAGACAACAGAAAAGGACATTGGATGCTCTGATGCCAAGACTTTCCTCACCAGACTCCACACAGCCCAGCTTCTGAAAACCACAGCGTTGCTGGGGGACACTGGGGAAGAAAACCAACTTTTCAAAGGAGAAGAAAAGTGGACCAGAATGTTCACCACCACACGTCCTCTTCCTACCTAAGAGTCAGTTCCCATCAAATCCACCAGTTCTTAAAGAGTCTCTTGTTTCTGAGGTGACAGATGGCTCCCACTGCAACTTGCTAAAGGCCAAACTCAACTCTGAAGTGACCCAGAGGAATTTCAGCCCCAGACCATGTGAAGAAGGTGGAGAATGATAAATTCAGACTCTGCCACACAGCAGTGTAAATGGACAGAATACTGTAGACTTCTTTTTTAAACAAAAGCCAAACCACTGGGTGTGGTGGCCCATGTGTATAATCCTAGCATTTAGAAAATAAGAGGCAGGGGGATTGTGAGTTTGAGGCCAGCCTGGGGTACATAGTTGCCTTCAAAATAAAACATGAATACAAAAAAAACCTTCAAACAAACAAAAGCAACCAACCAAACAAAGATCCTTCCTCTCTCACCAACTCTAAAAATTTCTTGGTTAAGTATCAAACACAGAAAAGCACCACAGAGATCTTGTCTGCTTCCCTGGGACAAGAAATGGCCTCTAGCCATTCAGAAGTACCTGGGCCCTCCCCTCATACCATACCTGCCTGCCTTTCTGCAGATAAGAACAGACTCATTCAGGTCAATACCACCTCCTTATCTTTAAAACAACTCCCTTGTCCAGCTCTCCGTCTAATTTTGAATTTCTGAGAGTTTCTTCTGGTAAGAGTGCCTGTCAGCTTGGTAGAAAGTGAAATGTCTATTATGGAGCAAATTCAAGTAAGATTTCAACCCGGTGCTGAAACAAGGCTGTGTCCTATCTGTGTCCCACGGGCAGATGAAAAGACAGAACAGGAGACAGAGGCTAAGTCCCCAGAACAGGAGACATGGGCTCCAAAAACAGCTCCTTGGAGAGGCTCACACCTGTAATAACATCTGGAGGCTGAGGCAGGTGGATGGCCAAGTTCAAGGCCAACCTAAGCTCCAGGGTGAGTTCTAGGGCAACTTAAACTCCCCGTCTCCAGAAAACAAATAGAGAGCTCCTGGAAACGAGTTGGCCAGAGTCCTGTTATCACCAAGGGAAACGCAAAGGCAGGGTTGGGAGATGGGACAGTATCAGACTTGTCTCAACAGAGGCTGGGGAATCTGCTTCTCTGGAAAGGAGGATGGGCCAGGGGACATTCTGCCAGGGTAGTAACACTGCCAGGCAGGGCCCGAGCCCAGGCTCTGTGGTCTTCGTGCTTAGAGTTTAATGTGCCCGGGAATCAGATGGAGTCTTGGTAAGGGGCAGGGGCCAGTTCAGTAGCCTAGGCAGGGGTCTGAGACTCTGCCTTTCCCACAGGCTCCAGGCCAGATGCTGCAGACGGAGTCCTTCCCCATGGGCAGCAAGGGGAGCTGAGTCATGTGGAGCTCAGCGTTCTGTCTTTGAATTACTCAGCAAGAAAAAAAATCCAAAACACAGTCAAGACCTAAAAAATGTTGGGTGTCTCATAAGTTCAGAGGAAAGCTTCCTAAGAGAGTAACTGCATGGAGCCTTTTGTTTTTAAAGTCCAGGGACAGCTGGAAACTTCACATTTGTTCGAGAAGTTATCATCACGGCTCAGAAAAACCTGTCTGAGCTTTGAGGCCTGAAGCGGTACAAAAGCCAACAGCAACTTGGGTCCTGGCTCTAAGATTCCAAACCCTCAGCAGATACTGGGGAAAGAGAAGGAAATTCGAAGACTCTCCTTGAAGACAGCAGGTCTCCCAAGACGGCACACTCACCTGCCAGGTGCCCAGGCCCACGATGGGCATCTTGGCTTTGGTACTGAGCTCCACGAAGGTGGCCATGGTTGCTGCCGAAGACTTCCTGAGAGAGCCAATGTCTGTGTGCTGGTAATGAGGCTAGTGGAGGTTTTATGTCCTGGACGAAGAGGCAGAATCTTATTGCATGAGCAAGCAGCCACACCCAGGGACCGGCTCCGAACAGGAAGTTTATCTTCTGTAAGACTGCAGAGAGTGAATGAGGATTAATCATAACCCAGTAGCAAGTCTCCCTCGTGCAGCATGAATTACTCTGGGAGAGCTACTTAGAGGTTTATGAACCTAAACAACGGGGCGAAAGGTCCTTCAAGATGCATTGCTCAATTTGCTTGAGATGCAACATTCCGTGAAGAGTAGTGAGCCCTGTAGATATTCCAAGAGGTTAAAGCATGCCAAAGTTTTCAGAGGCAAAATGAGGAAGGAGGCTTTCATCAATTATTTTGAGACAACTGTGTCGATTACAGAAATCAACAACTGAGGTGCTAGTCTGAAGTTAAAAGACAGACAGGCAGGGATTGTTGCAGGGGGGAGAGAGAGACAAAGTGTGTGGGGGACAAGACACTTTGAGCAAGGCTATGGAGTTTCAGAAGGGTCTGTTTTCTGTCTTTTTTCTTTTTTTAAGTTTTACTCATCTAATTGCTAGAAGGTTGTAAAAAAACAAATTTCCCCAGTTAATCAGCAGGTCAGGACCCTTTCTTTGATAATAGTCTCTCTCTTTTATTTGAGATTTGACCAGTTGTATTTATAATGACCTTTTACACTTTTTGTGCTTACATTAAAAAAAACAGATTTTTGTAAATACAAATATTATATATCACCAAGGAAAATGTGAACAAGAGAGACAATTATAAGATGGGAGTAGAAAGCACCTTTATTCCCGTCACTCAAGACATCACTGCCCAGTGCTTTTTCCTCAGATCTTTCTCTCCGTGTGTATTAGTTTTTATGCACTGCACTCATGTTTTCAAAATTGACACCATAAGACAAGCTCATCTATCATTTAGAGTAAATCATTTTAAAAGTGCTTTTATGCCAAACATTCTAATATTTTATTGGATTTTGCCATCATTTATCCTGCCATTTCCACTATTCTTGGATATCTGCTTGATTTCCAACTGGTTCCTATTATGTATAAATAATATTTCAAAGTATATCATTGCAATGAGGCATTGGACACAGAGTCCTTGGGATAGATCTTTAGAAGTATACAGGCAAAGGAAATTTGTTTCAGTTTATCTTGTGATGTCTGGGTCCAAACTGATAGTTTTTTCTAAGTGGGAATTTTCCCTTCTGCCATTTATTGAATAATACAAATTATTATCTTACCTCCATATTTATAATTCTCTAATACTCCTGTACAAATGTTCTTGACATTTACTTTGTTGATATTATAAAACTAATACATGTCCTCTATAAAGAGGAAAAAATATCAAAACAAACAAAAGATTTTGCAGAGTTGTAAGAGAAGAAAAGTTGTTCATATTTCAAATTTAGAGATAATTATCATTAATAACATTGGGGGTGTAACTGGAATGTCTGGATGACTGGAGAAGTCCCAGACCATAGAAACACCATACCCCATTTCCCAACATGAGCCTAGGACAGAAATATCAAGCCCACGATGGGAACCCTGACCCCAAGGATGCCTACAGTGACAGTGGCCAATAGCCTGGTGTGTGCCCAAGGCATCTTCAGTGTCTCCCCAGAACAGCGCAGAGAAGAGCTCAATTGTCTGTGGAACTGACTTAAAGGAGACATAGCTCACGTCATAGCAAGGTTAAGGTTGCAATGTGTGTATAACTTAATATATTCGAGAGAGACAGAGCCAAGGTTGAGGCTCTCTGTCTAAGGATTTGATGGTGATATGGACATCTTAGGAAGGATGATTACATTTGAGGACCCAGATTAATTCATAGGATGTGACCAACTTCAGGTAGATGTCACAGCCAAGCCCACCTCACACTGAGACATTTATTTTACATGTTGCCCCACCCCATTGAAATCCCACTGACACCAGGGGAGATAAAATCCTAAATATAGTAGATTTTAATCCATATGTAAAGGGAAGTAAAAATGAAATACAAGGGGTCAGCAGTAAACTAAATTGAAGAAGCTCCATTTATTTATTCTAAAGATGCTGCAGGCTCCTTGATGTTGGCTAGAACATGGTGCAGGTCAAAAGCCAGAGTTCCTTGGGCTAGCTGTAATCATCTTTACAGTCAACTTCTTTATCTGACCTAACATCCAGACTTCTAGATAAAATTCCAGGTATTTCAAAGCTTGATACGCCTCTAGCATCCACCCGTCAGCCTCAGAATGGACAAAGCCTCCACATCATACTCTCACAGAAGAGAGCACTCTACCTTGCTGTAGTCCACACACCTGATGCTTCTCCCCGTATCACTGGTAGTGTTGACCAGTGGATTTCTTCTTAGCCTTTCCTCCTCTTTCCCCTTCTCCGTTTCTTCTTTCCTTTCTCATGCAGCCAGGGCTTGTCTCAAACTAGCCACATAGCTGAGAATGCCCTTGATCTCTGGATCCTCCTGCCTCTACCTCCTGAGTACTGGAATTACAGGTTTGGATTGCAGAAGCATCTGTTTCCTGTCTTCCTAATTTCCAGTGAGTTCCAGGTTGGAGAGGTCATCTTGCACCCACATTGGGCAGCTCATAACCGCCTGTACCTCGAGTTCCAGGGGATCCAATATGTTCTTCTGGCCTCCTTGGGCATCTTCACTCATGGACACATATCCACACAAGTACACATAATTACAAAACAAATAAATGTAAGCCTTTCCAGACTGCCATTCCACAACACAATGACGCGCACTCAGGGGACCCCTGTCCCCTTGATGGCTTGGCATTCATGTGGCTCGGTGCTCTTGTGGCTTGACACTCATTTCTACTTTCCCAGGTTTACGATTTCATTGTCCCAGGCACCACAGTTTGCTTATCTGTTTCCTTCTAGAAGGGCATAGAAGTTTCATCCATGTTAATTTTTCTGTTGGCTCACAATGAGTCAGCAATTTACCCATAGATGACTACTGGAAGGCTAGCTAATATGATCAGCTAATGTAAACAGGAACTTCGTCACTGGGGGAAGGAAAATAAGAGTGAGGCCTGTTGAGTGTTTCCAGAGGAGAGGGGACAGTAGAGTCTTGGTTGTGAAGATTGCCATTCTAGATTAAGTTCAAGTCGCATTGGAACAGTTCTGACCTGACTGGAGCCAGCTGTAACAGTAACCCAGGGAAAATGACTTAGGCCATGCCATGATGTGACATCATTTTGGGTTGACACAGGGAGGTATTTGTGTGTGTGTGTGTGTGTGTGTGTGTGTGTGTATGTGTGTGTGTGTGTGTGTGTGCTAGTTTTGTTTGCTTTTTTTAAAAAAATTTTTTTTTGGTTTTTCAAGACAGGGTTTCTCTGTGTAGCTTTGCACCTTTCCTGGAACTCACTTGGTAACCCAGGCTGGCCTCGAACTCACAGAGATCCACCTGGCTCTGCCTCCCGAGTGCTGGGATTAAAGGCGTGTGCTGCCACCAGGCCTTGTTTGCTTTTTTAAAAAGATTTTATTTATTTACTTATGTATATGTATGTATGCCTGCATGTATGTCTGTGCACCACATGCATGCCTGGTACCCTTGGATCCCCTGGGACTGGGATTACTGATAGTGTAGCCACCATGTGGGTGCTGGGAATCAAGCCTAGGCCCTCTAGAAGAGCAGGCAGTGTTCTTACACACTGAACCACGTTTCCAGCCCCATACTTTGAATCAACTATATATGGTTTAATAAAGGCTTGCTTAGATACTTTCTAACTTTGTTAATTTACCAATTTACTCCTGGCTTAATTTTTATTATTGTTGTGTATGTTGACATGAAAGTGCATGAATGTGGGTGTGTGCCATGGTGAGCATACGGAGATCAAAGGACAATTTTCAGGAGTTGGTTCTCCCCTTTTAAGCTTGCACGACCTCTTACAGAAGAATTCCAGCCTGGGAGAACCAAGAAATCCCCATGCCTAAATGGTGGTGGTGGACTATTGGCTTACTTCACATAAACCCAGCCTCTCTGATGGTGTTAATGACCCTGACAGGACTGAGAACTGGTTGGAGGTCCCTCCCCGAGGATGTTGTGAGCAGCTGGAGACGACCAAAGTGGAAGAAACTGAGCAACAGACAACGCCATCAGACATTATTTATTATAGCCCTCATTTTCAGGGGACATTTGTCCTGGCTGTTTGCAGAAGCTTAGTCTGAAGTAGGGGAGCCTCCTACTTCAACACATGTGGTAGTGACCAAACCTTTCATGTATCTGCTAAATATGTGAGTTTAATTGAGAAATGTGTCCCTCAAAGTTAGTAAGGCATTTAATAATGAAACTGCTCCCTCAGAAGATGCCTGCCCACTTTCCAAGTTGTCCCTTGTAATGATATCCAACCACCAGGCTCTGCATGTGAAGAGTTTCTGGAACAATGCCCATGTTACTCACACTTGTTCCTGGTCGGATCAGCCCTACTCTATGCTAGGATGCAGTCGGTCCTGCCTTCTAGGTGTTCCTGCTGGAGCCAGGATGAAGGACAAAAAGTAGTTTCTGTACTGAAAGGTCCCGGGGCCCCAGGAAGGGTGTATAGAGCTCCTGACCCATCCCCTCTTCCCCCCTCCCCCCAGCACTGCTGTAGTGCTTCCAAGGTTCTGAGGGAGGGCAAAGAGAAGAGCCGTGTGTCTTAGGACAGGCCACTATCACAACAGCCAGCCTGGACAGGAGAGACTGGTTAGGGCAAGAGAGGCAAGAGGCACCCTCATGGGGGACATTTGGGGTCCTGTGTGCAGCCAAGCAGGCCCTGGTTACTTCTAGGTAGACATAGCTTCTGGGGTCGTTTGTGGTCATGTGACCTCTCCTGCACCCGCAGGCTATTGAGGCCTTGGAATGTCAATTGCATGCTAGATTACAGTCTCTGTATGCAATGTTAGATAAAAACTTGAATTTTATTAAGATGTTCTTCCCTAAGAAAGTCAAAACTGATAGTCTTATTTATTTATTTTTGAGGCAGGGTCTCATATAGCCCAGGCTGGCCTCAAACTTGCTTTGAAGCAGTGGATGACCTTGAATTTCTGATGTTCCTACCTCTACCTCTTAAATCCTGGGATTAGACATGTACCACCACTCCATGTTTTACGCCACGCTATAGTTTGAACCTAGGGCTTTATGCACGCTGGGAAAGCAGTCTACCAAAGGAGCTATATTTCCAGCCCCAAGTCATATATTCTTTAGGAAAAGGCACAGAACAAGAGTCCCAGGACCAAGTCCAGAGCAAGTCATCAGCTCTGCCTGCCATGCCTTGAGACTAGACCAGAACATTGCTAATACTGCCCTCTGGTGTGAGCCTTCTAGGAAAGAACTGGTTTGTAATAAGACATTGAAATATCAAAACACAAACCCCTCCAGAAATACTGTAAATATTCCCAAAATCATGGAAAACAGCAAATCCAGGAACATTCTTACCAGTTCAGTGATTCATTCCATTTCCCATCAGGTCCAATCAGGGGAAAGCATACATCCTGACCTACCTCCAGCCTGTGATCAAGCACATCGGTACAGATGGGTCAAACAAACTTGTTCAGGGGAGTGAAAACATGTGGCTTGTTATCTCACATAAGCAACAGCCTCCAGCATTTCGGGAACTATCTGTCCTTGGGCAAGAGGCTTGCAGATCAGAGGCATATTTGTTCCAAAGATCTCTTAGGCACAGTAATTAAAACTTAAACTGTAACCTTGGCTCTCATAGCTTCACACTTCCTAACGTGGGGCAAAGCAGCTTTGGCATTGAGCCAGGAGGAATCCCCGATGCCGAGTGCATGCCAAGATGTGGGGTTTCTCTACTGTTGGTATGGGCCTGTGCCTAGCCTCCCAAGCTTGTCTGTTAAGAATGGTGCCTTCAAGGGACAAGGGGTCATGTATCAGAAAAGTTAGAATATTATTTCATCATACATATTCTTTCTTGTCTAACTCAAGGATTAAAAACAAAACAAAACTCCAAAGTAATGGAAACACTTGCTGCTCAATACTAAAGGTCACAAACGCCAAAGCAGACCTAAGGCTTGGTCTCCAGAACTTTCTCTGTAATAGTAAGCTGTGACAAAACTCAGAACCTGTGGACATCTAAAGGATTTTACAAAGGGATCTCCCAGATTACAGGAGCAAGTCTCGTCTGTCTGTCCCTTTTCTTGCTTAGAACAGCTAGGGCAGTCTCCCCAAGGTGATCCAAGTACTCCACCCTTCACCAGGATGGGGTGAGGGGTGAGGAGGCTTATTGTGTGCATGTAAGTTGTGACCAGTAGAGGGCAGCAGAGACCACACAGCTGGCTTTTCAAGACCATACCATGAAGCATCCCCTGGGGTCCTTCTTTCTGGGGACAGAGACTGAACTCTGTTCTACTCATGTGAAATTAGCCATTCAGAACACAGTCTGGGACTCAAGGCCAGGCTCAGAGGTAAGACCAAAGCAATTTCAGACACTGGCAAATGTCTTTGAATCCTCATCAGTTCCTGTTCTGTGTGCCTTCTCTGCTTCTCCGAGCACAGTTAGAAGCTGGCAGCCTCGGTGGCATCTGTGAGCATGTCAGAAAAGCAGGGCAGAATCTGGATGTTTATGACATTCCTAGGTGATTCCTGTTCACAGAGAATTTGAGGGTCTTGTCATGACCACCCTCCCTTCTAGATGCCTGCTACCCACAAACCTCCATTTCTGATCCTCATCCTCTTCCACCCCTGTACCCTGCAGCAACACAGGAGAATGTTCTGGTTTGTTTCAGGGTTCAAGAGAGGAAGACTGTCGGTGTGGGCTCCAGTGGGAAGATCTGACATTTGTTTTGCAGGGGATTCCCAAGCCCTCACAATGTGCTTCCAACCTTCAGCTCTATGTGCCTTTGGGTGATGGCTGAGAAAATGAGTCCTGGGGCAAGATGCCCATATAAATATATTATATATTACCATCGCAGGCTAGAGCTAGTTTGTATAAATCTGTGACTTTTCAGTATGAAACGGTTGTTCTCTTTATTGTGTTTGTTAGCTAGCTGTTTGAAAGAGAGGAAAGACACGTCAACACTTTCAGGTTGTGACATGAAGCCTGTTGGGACTTTTCTTTGGGTGCTCAAATCTCAGAGGAAGGACTTTTGCCCAGAAGGACATCTCTCTCTGTTCAGATCCTCAGGTTTTAGGGGAAATGCTGTTAGGTGTGTCTTGGGTGGGCATTGAATACTGTGAATGCCTTCTGAGGTCTGTATCCTGCAGCTAAGGGATTTGGAGTATCGCCTGAGTTGTGGTGTAAGAGGCATCCCAGGGTCCTCTAATGGTTCTTGGCAGTGGCTTTGTGGGTCCTTTGGGAAGAAGAGCTTGCTTAGGAGTGCCCGTGCATGACTTGGGCTGAGAAACAAGCAGCCTTGCAGTGGAAGAACCATAGCCCACCAGGAGAGGGCGCCACGGTTTCGGTAAACAAGTAGCAGAGGCAGGACCTGCTGGCACTCCACCGGGCTGTCCCTTTGCCCGCACCCCCACAACCCAAGGCTTTGTTCTTTTTCTTTTCCAGAAGAGACATAACCCAGGTAAAAAGCGACTGTGAACTCCAGAAACTGTGGCTCTCAAGCTCCCTAAGATGCGTGCATTTTCTAACCGTCCCTCCCCCAAACCTGTCACTCAGGGTCAACAGTCACTCTGCCTCAGTCTCTCCCTCCTTTTCCTCCCGACCCTGTCTGTTTCCGGACGCATTCCCGTCTGTGGTTCTGCTCAGCCTAACCGAGGCGAGGCGCTTTCTGGTATTCCCTGTGCTGTCCTCTGCACTATCCACACCGCAGCCCCGGGGCCTTCCTGCTCTGCATCTTCCACAGCGCTGTCTCCACTGTGCCCCAGGTCATTTCAGATGCCCCAAGCCCAGCTGGCCCCGTGGGTTCTTCATTCCCTTCTTGTAGTTCAGCCTCTCCCCCATCCCCCACCTCCCGCAAAAAAACAAAAAGTGGATTCTACAACCTTCTTGTAGTTCAGCCTCCCCCACACACCCCTTAAAAAAAAAAAAAAAAAAAAAAAAAAAAAAGCCTTAGACAAAGATTCTCGCTTGGCCAAACTGGTCAGGCTTCTGAACGCCTGTTAGGTCCATCTGAGAACTTCCTTGAGAATCCAGTTTGGCAAAGAACTCTGCACAGTCAGTTTAGTAAGTGCTCCTTGTCCTCGGTATCAGTTCATCTTCCATATCTGATTAGCCTACCACTCTCCACCATCCCCCGCAGAGGTCATGTCTGAATACCCTCCCTCAAGAATCCTGTTAGATCAGTTGAGCCAAAGTCATCCTTACCGCTGGCGCCTCCTCAGTAATTTTCCATTCGCCAGTACAAAACTGCTCCTGGGCCAGGGGTTTCCATTCGCTCACTGAATGCAGTGTTGAGGCTGCGCTCTCTCCCCACGGGTAGAATCTTGTGCGTGGAGGCCGTCCTGCCTAGTTGATGTCTCTGAATAGTAACAATAGTAACCACTGTTGCCTTCCTGCCCCGGCAAGGCCTTCCCACCATCTTGAGTTTGTCCCCATGTCCGTTTTCCAGCTTCGAGCCCTCTGGGTGATATCTATGCATTAGGTGCCAATCCCTTCTTAACTCAAACCCCCTGTACTGTACCTTTCCCCATGAATCTGGAATCTTCCTGAGAGCAAGACCCAAGTGAGGTTGACTGAGCATGGTTTGCTGGGGAATCCATATTCTTCAATAGTATTCATTTGTGAGTGAATGAATCAGCTAATAAGTGAACAGATACGGTTCCCATGGCAGGGGCAGTTGGAAATGAATCCACAAGATAGATTCATATCCTGTCAGGACAACTGGATTGTGACTTGGAGTAGAACATAAGAATTGTATTAGTTCAACCAAACTAAGGATCTCAGGAACTGTTACAGATATTGTTCTTATAGATAGTTCCTTTTAACGAGGATCCCAAGAAAGTGGTGTGTGTGTGTGTGTGTGTGTGTGTGTGTGTGTGTGTGACCTGCACACACACACCACAATAAATGTTTTAAAAGGAATGTTTGCAACCAAGGGAAATCTATAGTTGAAGCCAGCAAAAGTGTACACAACAACAAAGCTGACAAGAAACAGAAAAAGACTGAATTTCTTGAGGAAAATTGTTTCTAGGAATAGCTGTTCCTAGAGGGGCCAAGCATCCCTGTTATCTGGACCTTGGGGGAGCTTCCAGATCATAGGGTTTTGATTTTAAAACAAGGGAAATCCCAGGAAAGCATAAATTGTTACCTTTACTTAGGATGTCAGATGCCCAAATACTATTATGTGGGGGAAAATAAAACATATGGGAGTGAGAACCAGATAGTTACAGAAATAACTTGAAATTAAATAAATGGAAGTCACAAATTATTAACAAGAACCATTAAGTAGGGTTATAACCCAATCTACTCTTTTGGAAAGTGCCTCTAAACAAGAACTCTGTAAGTCTTATAGAAACTTGGGGTGAAAACTAAGAGAGAATTAGGTGTGTTCTTCAGGGAGGGTACTCCTGAAAGCCTGGACAGGTGTGCAGTGCACATGATCATGGGCCGAAGGCTAATGCAGAGCTTACTCAGTTCATTCTATTTTTCAGACTCCGATGGGGCCTCTACCCAGTGCCCCATGGACCATGGCATTTTCCTGGCTTCATAAGTCGGAGCAGCATGTGAGCTTGGCTTGTTTCCCCTTCTGTCTGTGGATGTCATTTCTTCGCATCGAGTGAGTGTGTGCGGTTCTCTGCTGAACAGTCTAAAAGACCCCGTGAAGGTTGTCTTAGTCACTCTTCTATTGCTGTGAAGACATCACGACCAAGGCAGCTCTTATAGTGTAACTGAGCTGGGGCTTGCTTACCGTTTCAGAGGCTTAGTCCATTGTCATTGTGACAGGGAGCATCGGGGCATGGTGGCATGCAGGTGTGGTGCCAGAGAAGTAGTGAAGAGCTACATCCCAATCTTCAGGCAGCAGGAAGAGAGAGGTACTGGACCTGGTATGTCTTTTGACACCTCAAAGCCCATTCCCAGTGATGCATTTCCTCCAACAAGGCCACACCTACTAATCCTTCTAATCCTTTGAAAAAGTTCCACTACCACTGCCTGGTGACTAAACATTCCACTGTATGAGCCAATGGGGCCATTCTTATTCAAACCACCACAAAGATCTCCGGAGTCCCTTCTTTCTGCAGCTCTCTCTACAGCTGTCTCCTGAGACCCCAGATTGCTAGCACCATTTGCTCTAATCAGAATCTGTGAGGTTCTACCCACCTCACACACTGCCATCTAGAGAATAAGCCATAGCACACACCTGGGGGATAAGAAGCAAGGCTTCATTTCAGTTTCTCAGTTGTCATAGTCCTCATTACCTGACACCCAGTGTCTTGAAAATGAATTTGGAACATAGTGTGCGGCCATCTCCAGCTACTATCATCAGTCTATATGAGCCTAAAGCAGATACACTTGCCTTCTGTCACTTGTGACTCCAGCTGCACTTTCAAGAATAGGTTTTTAATTGGTTGCCAGCAACCATGTCTGTATCTGTCACAGAGTCATCATCATCATCGTCAACAGACACCCTTTCAAAGTGTTTGGTATTCTAATTCATTTGAAGAACTGCATTCCACACCTGCTTCTGAACACTTCCAGCCCACTGTAACATTGCCATCCTTGCCTCATCATCCAAGACCATCGTACTCAGTTAAATGGAAGATTTGTCAGCAAGTATATAGTCAGGCCTTTCATATATATATGTACAAAATAGGAAATTCTCTTACCTCGCTGTTTCTCAACTGCCTCCGCTGTCAGAACTTCTGTCCTCCTGGTGGTATCTACATCAGAATGAGTATCTTTGCTGAAAACTTTTTATACTTCCCCCAAACCATACTTTTCCTTCTATGTAAGATGATATGTGGCTCCACCAGCATCAAGCTTGGAGTACAGTCTTGGGGTTTTATTGCTGTGGACAGAGGCCATGACCACGGCAGCTCTTGTAAAGGAGAACATTGAATTGGGACTGGTTTTATTCAGAGGTTTAGTCTATTAGTGTTATGGCAGGAAGCATGGTAGCTTGCAGGCAGACGTGGTGCTGGAGAAGGAGCTGAGAGTTCCACATCCGGATCTGCAGGCAGCAGGAAGAGAGAGCAACGGTGGGTCTGGATTGAGCATCTGAAACCTTAAAGCCTGCCCCTAGTGACACACTTCCTCCAACAAGGCCACGCCTCCTAAGAGTGACACTCCTTATGGACCATGGGTGTTATTTTCATTCAGACCACCACATGTAAGAAGCATGGCATGATAGAGTTGGTGCTGGCTGTCACAGGGTAATGGCTTTGTGATACCAGGTCTCCCAACAGAGGTCTTGCTGGGGAGTCTGGAAGCTTAAAGGGTAAGGGGGGGGGGTCTTCAGGCTTTGGGTGGTAGAGGTTGCAGCAGTTTTGTAGCAGAAAAGGAAAGGCCACTGATGTGAAACTGTTAACAGAGGGGGGAAAAAAACCCTCAGGAGCTTCTAATTCACTTTTATCCCCCAACACTCAAGGAAGTTTCTAGTGGAATGTCAGGACTCTGCTCTTAGCCCATCCGATTTCAAGAACTTAAAAATAAAATAAATAAGAATAGAAGGCAACTTTTATGGCCTTTTTTTGATGATACAGAACTAGAGGTATCATAGGTCATGGGAGTAAAAACCAAAATTGTCTCCTTTGAAATACTATACTATTAATATTAGTTAAACCAATACTGTGAACTCAAACCTCATTAAATGCAACGCCTTCTGCTTCAGAGTAAAGGGGAGCTGTTTGAAACTGGGATTTCATGATGGAAACAATCTCTAAATGTTGGGCAATCAACATCCCAGTTACAGACACCCACTGTTGTTCGTTTATGAGACTATGTAGCCCAGGCTAGCCTTGAACTCACAGCAGTCCTGAGTTCTGGGATTACAGGTGTAATCCATCATATCCAGCTCCAGCCTTTCTGGTAGAGATGTAGATTGCAGGTCATGAAAGTATCATTGAATTGATGTGACTTCATCCTGAATATAATTTACAGTTCTAGGGATGACCTTTGAAAAGAGACTTTGGCTAGTTTAAGTGTAGCTAAATCAGAAAGAACCATTAATTGATCAGTCAAGCCACCATGTTACAAATTCTCAGTATTTATATGTATTTTTTAGAAACATGTATCTATATTAACCTGAAGAAGACCTGGGAAGATGTTACAGTAGTTTATGAACATTTGAGCTGCTGTGTTAGAGATGAAAGGATGCAATAGTGAGATTTATTCTAGTTACAGTAAGGGAAAATTAAGAAAGTACTGTGAAAGGCTCCATATAATTAAAAACAAACAAACAAACAAAAAACAGCTACAGACTAGTGATGGCCTCATCAGTAGAGAGCTCTGGGACTGGGTGGCTGAGACCATGATGGAAGATGGATTATTTTTACATTTCCAGCTTTAAAAACAAAGGTCTTAGAATGCTACAGAATAAAAATGAAAGGTAAGTTAAAAGTATGGTCTCGAATTTTAAGCAATTTGATTTGTTCTTCTTTCCTCAGTCTACTGTTTCTCATGCTAAACCGATTTTTACTTTTCTTTCCCCCCAAGACAGGCTTTCTCTGTGTAACAGCCCTGTCTGTCCTGGAACTCACTCTGCAGACCAGGCTGGCCTCAAATTCATAGAGATCTGCCTGCCTCTGCCTCCCAAGTGCTGGGACTAAATTTGTGTGCCACCACCGCCCAGCTCAGCTTTCTACTTTCTAAAGCCCTTCAGAAAGTGTGGCAAAACCTATGGCCTTCTTTCTCCTCAGAAACAATACCCTTCCACACATTCTTTCACATATATGTTTGCACATCTACACATACACACACACAAACACATGTACACACACAAACACATGTACACACATTAAAAAATAAGTTAAATTAATTCTATAGGATTATCTGATTTGGAATGGAGATGGCTGTACTCTCCTGTCTTGACTTATGAGCCATTCTGAATAATTTGATCTTTTTGTAAATGCACCAAGAAATGCCACTTGCCACATGATGAAGATGGTGGTCCTCAATAGTCAATGGTTTTTAGCAGAGACATTCCTCTGAGGTCACGATAACTTTAACTACTTGGATACTCAGTACTTAAAAAGTAGGTATTAGTAGTGGTACTGAGAAAGATGATTTATGTAATGCTTTTCCTTGGAGCTAAAAACTAATGAGAGATTTTTTTTAATGTCAAAGCCAAATTTTGAAGATAAAATTGTTTTAGTTCAGTCTGAAGAGAATTGAGTCCACTTCTCACTCTCTTACTTGTTCCACAACACTGGGTAGGAAAGGTCATTTTGTTATTTAACTTTTCTATTTTAGTGAAACGTTAAATATTTACTAGTTGTCTTTGTTTAAAATCTCATATCCCAATTGTTCCAGGAGAGGAAGGGATGGTAACAGAAGAAGGATCTGTCATTTCTGACTGGTGAGATTTAAAATATAATAGGCTGAAATTTGTGGGGAGACCCCATGTCTGAAGGATGGTTGGACTTCAATCAGTTGACCAAACCACACGGGAGGTACCTAATTCTTAGAGAAACTCATCATCAAGAGAAATGAGGGGGTTCGAGAGATGACTCGGTGCCTAAGAGAGCCTGCTGCTTTTGAAGAGGAGAGGACCTCTCCCCGTAAGGCAACTGCTTCCGTCCACTGCCCACACCAGGCAGCTCACAACTGTCTATGGCTGGAGTTCCAGGGTGTCAAGTCCCTCCTCTGGCTTCCACTGTGTACCTGCAGGCATAAGCACAACCCCACACTCACACACATAATTAAAAATAAAATAACTCTTTAAAAAGGGAAATAAGAATTTTGCTATCAATAATCCAGTAAGGGACAATAGTATAAAAAACAGAATGACAAGTCCAGAAAACTGTTGGTTGTCGCCTCTGTCCCTGCCTATAGTAAGATTCTGCAAGAAATCCTCTTTCTTGGTGTCTATGCTAAGATAATGAAAAGCCACACTAGAGGGAGAGATGGGAGTCAGGACAGACATAGATACTGTGGAATAGTGTGTTTCGAGAACAAGCCACCAGGCAAGGCGTGACACTCGCTGAAGGCATCTCAAGAAACGTTTTTGACAATGTTAAGACCAAAAGGAGAATTTGCTCCTCAGTGCTCTGGCTATAAAAGAGTTCATGACAGTCAAGGCATGTAGATTGTTTGGATTTATATATATATAATCAAAACTTATTAATCTTCAACTAGAGGTTCAGTACTCCTCACAGCATCCCATCATCAATGATTACATTTAACTCACCTAAGAAGAACCATCCAGATAACCTTAGAAAACATGCCAGCTTTCTGGCCAAATCCTCAGCTGATAATTGGACGACTAACGCAGCACTTGGATAAGGTAAGGTGAAGCCATGTGATCGTTTCCCCGGAGTGTGTAACTTCCTAAACTCATTCGTGTTGGTGTTCTTTGAAAAACTAAGTCATGTTTTTTTCTACTGTCAGTATCTGATTCTGAAGTGAGTTGTATATACTTCAATAATTTCAATGAGAGTTTCAATGATTAAAAACTTTCTCACATAAGAGGTCCCTACTTACAGTGTATATTGCTAGTATGTTAAGAGAAGGGTTTCTGCAGGATATGGGATGCCTGATATAAAACTAAACAATCTGTTGATCCTGCTGGGAAGATCATGCAGTCCTATGTCATTTCAGGGATAAAGGACAAAAAATGGGAAATTCATTGAGAGTTTTAAGTATAGTTTAAGGCATATCTCTCAAAAGAAGAGAAGGGTAGAGTTTGATTGGGATTGTGTAAGAGTCACAACATAATAAGAGGAGACCAGCAAAGCAATGTTTTTTCAATAAAAAATTCAAAGAAATCTTGATTATAAATTCTTATATGATTCTCTCTTCAAGAGAGTGAATGGATCTTTTAAGAAGCTCCTAGAATGAGCAGCGTTGTTAATTCCAATTTTTATTTTTGTTAGGCATGAATTTGTGTGTGTGTGTGTGTGTGTGTGTGCGCGCGCGCACGCGCGCGCGCCTGTATGTGCACATGTGTGCAGAGGCCAAAAGATAACATCAGCCACTTTGGAACGGGAGTTACAGGCAGTCATGAGCCACCCAAAATCATCTATGAACTGAACCCGGGTCCTGACCTCTGAGCCGTTTCTCCAGTCCAGGTACGAATCTGCTAAAGAGGTTGCTAAGGAAGAAAGCCAACTGGTTGATGTGAGTGCAGATGCATGGTATCTGTAGTGTCACTTCTCGGGATGGATCTCACTAAAGAAAAGAGAGAAGTACACGATTTTTGTGGAGAAAAGATATCGTGCACACTAGTATTTTTTTTAGTATTTAGTCTTTTAAATACATACTATATAAAATGTTGTTTATTGCAGGGCGGTGGTGGCGCATGCCTTTAATCCCAGCACTCAGGAGGCAGGGGCAGGTGGATCTCTGTGAGTTCGAGGCCAGCCTGGTCTACAGAATGAGATCCAGGAAAGGCGCAAAACTACACAGAGAAACCCTGTCTCGAAAAACCAAAAAAAAAAAAATGTTTATTTATTTATAATTACAAGTACATGTATACATATTCCACAATGGGGGGATGGAGGGAATGGATGAATGCATGGCTGAAAACTCCCAGTTAAAGAAGAGAAGCCAGTCAAGCAGCTTATTCTATCATCCCCTAGGCTTCCTCTTCCTCTTTGGGTTCCACTAAACACTAAACCAGATGTTCAGATATCCCCAAGTTCTATTTACAATTCCAGCTCAAATAGAACAAAGATACCTTTTTTTTTTTATTCTCTTGGCATAGGTAACTGAGGCAAGAATTTGGAAATTACTGCTGGCTACTAAGAATTGAAGGAGAAAAAGAAATATCTCGAACATTCAGACAAAGAGAATGGCACCCCCAGTCACCCCTCATGTGTTCCTGCCACCAACTGGCACAGAGCAATGACACAGAGCCATCTGTCTCTGCAGTGGCAATTCTGTGGTAACCTCTACAGGGCACTACAGTTGATACTACACCTGCCTAGCAAGGCACACCCGAGTATTCACACACTAGTTCACATACACAGAATGAAGTTAAGGATTGTTGACAAAGAAAGCATCACTCAAGGATACTTCTTTTTTTTTTTTTTTTTTTTTTTTTTTTTTTTTTTTTTTTTTTTTTTTTTGGTTTTTCGAGACAGGGTTTCTCTGTGTAGCTTTGCGCCTTTCCTGGAGCTCACTCGGTAGCCCAGGCTGGCCTCGAACTCACAGAGATCCGCCTGGCTCTGCCTCCCGAGTGCTGGGATTAAAGGCGTGCGCCACCAACGCCCGGCAAGGATACTTCTTAAAACACAGGGAAGAACGTTCTCAGAAGCACTGCCTTGGGCTCCTACAGTGGAGGAGAGGTGAGGCTCAACTCTAAATCCTCCATGGCCAAGCAGGAATTTAAGACCAAGGAGAGGTGTGGGGGTCAATGGATGGACAGTGACTAAGAGAAAAACACTATGGAAAAGGTGGATCATGGCTAAGCTGATATAAGGACTCATGAAGGTGTGTGAGGGGTGATCAGGTATGACCTGAGGGATGGTAGAAGATGAGGGGTGTGATCAGATTTCAAGGAAGAGAAGTCCATGCTAACTTGACTTAGCTTAAAGGCTCTTGGCTAAAATAAGACTTCATAAGTGCACAGACAGGCCTAGTGGAGGGTTCAGAAGTGGAGAATGTCTCAGCTCCTTTTCTTGATCTCTCTTGGACTCGGCAGCAGGCCTTCATGCCGAGCTTTGACTCCAGGGACAGTAGGGATGTTCCCCCACGGAGCCTGAGAGTCTCTACTCTCATTTCATTTGGGTTGCTGTGATCAAATATATATTTTTTAAAAAGTAACTTGAGGGGTTTCTTTAGCTTATAGTGCTGTAGGAAAGTCAAGGCAGGAACTCAAAACACGGTAAGAGCAGAGAAAGAATATGTACATGCATATTTGATTGATTTCTGCCCAACACTCAGCTAGGTTTCTCTACTGTTATAGCTTCCGGGGCCCAGACCTATGAAATGGATGAAATGGTGCCATTCACAATGGTCTAGGTCTTCCTACATCAATTCACCATCAAGACAGTTGCTTACAGACATGCCCACAAGCCAACCTGGTTTAGAGAAGTCTTCGTTAAGATGCTGGGTTATGCCAACGTGGCACAGTCTCCATGTCAAGTTCCACACACTGAATCCCAAAGTTACTTCTTCCAGTGAGGAAAGGAGAACTTTGTCCTTGGCCTCATTTCTTTGGTGAACAAGAAGGCTTACAACAGAATGAAACAAATTGTAAAGTAACCTTCTAGAAGGGATTTTTCCAGACAGGGTTTCTTTGTGTAGCCTTGGCAGTCTTGGAACTCACACTGTAGACCAGGCTGGCCTCAAACTCACAGAGAGCCTCCTGCTTCTGCCCCACCCCCACCCCCAAGTGCTGGGATTAAAAGCATGTGCACCACCACCACCTGGCTTGAATTCTTCTATGGGTGAATGTACATAAAAATGTACACTCCAGGCTGGCGAGATGGCTCAATGGTAAAGGCACTGGCTGCAAAGCCTGAGAGCCCAAGTTCAAGCTCTGGGACCCACACGGCAGAAGAGGGCTGACATCTAAAAGCTGTCCTCTGACTTCCACCATGTACACTGTGGCATGTGTCCACTCCGACACACAAAATAACAAAATGTAAGTTAAAAAGACATACCCTCCAGATTATACATATAATGGGGAATTTGTAGGCATCGGAAATGTATTTTCCTAACAAAAATTATATAAATAATATAAATGACTTGTGGCCAATTTTACAAATAGTGAAGCTGGGTGGATTGTTTTAACAATGATCTTTCCTGTTGTTTTCCAATAAGAAAGAATGTATGTGCCGAGCCCAGGCACGTGCTCCCAGGGCTCTGCACACTCAGGGACTTTCTTTGGGGTGTGCTCTCACGGCTTGACAAAAACTTCTTGAAAAAACTGATGACTCTAAGTCCTCATTCTGGTGAAACTGATGACTCTCACAACAGCCAACAAGACTTCTTTCATGAATTTCATTTCCAGAGGACTTGGAAGGCCTGTGAGGAGGCTGAGATAGCCTGCCCCCGGTTCCCACACAGCCTTCACCTCTTTCTTGTTCTATTTTAACTCTTTCAGGGCTGGGATGATGCTAAGAGAAACAGTGAAAGGTGGCTAAACACAGGGCCTTGGGCCTCCAGCTTGTGAAGCACCTTCCTCACAGAACTTTTAGGGAGGCAGCAGGACAAAGCACAGGGTCTTTGACCCTCTCTGATGATGAGCTGGAGGAAGACAAATAGGAGATGTAAGGGCTGGCTAGTAAAGCATAACCATCCCTGGTCCCATCAAGGTTGATAACCATATAAAGCGGTCCTCTGTGATTTACCCAACATTCTCTTTGGAGAAGCAGGAGAGGGTGCTTTTTGTCTTTATAAATTCTACACACTGCTTTTGAGCTGGAAAAATACCTCCAAGTCACATCAACGCCTTAGCGGATCATCCAGCATGGGCTATGCCATTAACATTGACCCGGCTTCGGCATCAGCCTTCTGGTCAGTGCTGGCATGCTAGGCACATGAGAAGAGGAAGAGTGGGGACAGTGATGTGACTGCATAAACCAGCAGCAAGCATCAAGACTTACCAAGACTGACACAACTACTATCACCAGATTTCCAGTCAGCCAGCAACTGAGAGCACCACACCAGGTTCCCCATCCGGTACCTTCCCTCAAGGATGCTCCAATCTATAAAGCACATATAAGAGTGTGAGTTTTAATCTAGAAATCAGACATCATTAAACTAAAAGGGGAGCCACACATTGAATCAAAGTCCTTTGTGTATAGTGGATTAGGGTCCAAGGGTGAACTGGAGGGGTCCTGCTCATTGCTAATCTCAATAAGACTTGTGGACCTGTGCTTCCCATCCCTACACCTCCACACTCTTCAGTAACTGTTCTGTTTCCCAAAGGGGTAACATTTGCAGGGTGACACAGTTAAGAATCCTTGGGAATTCTATTGGCACACAGCCCCTCTGATAGAGAGCTGCCTTGTCCAGTGTCTCATTTCTTCCAATGTGGCCCACATCCAATGCACAATGAATTTCATGGTTCGGCAAGTTTTGCGGTCATCTTGGTACAACCAAGGACATCTCGGTACCATGATAACACCATAGCTCTCAGTACATCGGTCAAAACAGCATTGGACCTACATGAAAATGGATCCCACCCTATGCTCCCTCCTCTTCAGACCCTTCCCTTTCACAGGTACTGGTGCCAAGCATCCTCCTGGATTGACATCCTGCATACTGTATTCCATCTCAGTCTACTACCCAGCAAACCCCGAGTGTGACATCACCCATAACCTAGACCTTCTTATCTCTCTGAGAGCACCACAGGGGGCTACAAACTGGCCTTTCCACTTCCTCTCTTGTACCCTGCCCCGGTGTCTAGGCTACACATAGCATCAAGAATGACCATTCTATAATGTACATCAGAACATAGTATTTTCTTGCTAAAATCCATCCACATTCCTGTTACATTCAGAATACAAGCCAGCCTCAGGAGGTAGGGCACTTGCTGTACAAGCATAAGGACCCGAGTTTGAATCCCATGTAGAAGAATCAATACGCCTGTGATCCTAGCCCTTGTATGGGAAGTCCATGCTGGTGGGGAAAGAGAGGCTCCTTCACAGCCCACTTAAAAATACCAAGATGCCAGAGCTCGGGAGATAGGTCAGTAGGCAAAGACACTTGTCACAGAAGCACAGGGACCCATTTTGATCTCTAGCACCAACATAAAAGGACAGCCATGGTGGCATGCACTTATAATCCCAGTGTTTGGAAGTGGAGAGAGGCAGACTCCTGCCCGTGAGTGAGCCTCAGCTCTCAGTGAGACACTCTACAAAAAAGAAGGGTGGCACCTGAGGAATGACATCTGAGGTTAACTCTTGGCCTCTGCACACACACCCCGCCACACACACAAACACACATGCACACACAATGCCAGGATGTGCTAGCAGTTCTGAAGTCAAAAACATTTTGGTTTTGCACCTCTAACACTTCTTTTCCCACCCAAACACCAGGACCCCAAATTAGTAGGAAATTCTGTCAGTCTTACCAAGCTGTTCTTAAACCAGAGTGCAGGGCATGTATTGTTTTCTGGGTTCCCTGCACCACTCTCTATATAGGTCTATTCTCTTGCCACTGAGCAACCTTGGGCCCCTCACTCAGGAAGTGTCAGACACCAGAGGTTCTCAGCCACAGGTCTACAAGGCCCTAGAGCATCCCAAGAGTTGTAAGCCCCAGGCATACCTCCCAAATTAGTGTAGCCCCCACATCTCTGTTGGGCTGGTGAAATGTTGGGCTGAAGTACATCGGGTGCTTGCCACTGGGTCTGATGACCTGAGTTCAGTCCTTGCAAACCTCATGGCAGAAGGAGAGGACTGACCCCCACAAGCTGCCCTCGAACTTCCACACGCACACCATCCTCCTCCTCGAACACAAAGGCGTCAGTAAGTGCAATTAAAACTTTCAAAGTTTTCTTGGGCCGGTGGAAGGCTCAGGAGGTAAAGGCACCTCTTGCCAAGCCTGACAACCTAAGTTGGATCCTACAAGACTCGCTTGGTGGAAGGGAAGAATCAATTCCCACAAGTTGTCTTCTGACCTCCACACACACACCCTGGGTTGAATATGCTGCAATTTAAAAAATCCGTGTCTTTTTTAAAAGACATGTGAGTTGAACTTTCTTTACCTGCTCTTTCTAGAACTTTCATGGCTGGAAGCTGGAGAGTGTGGTGCCGACACATCCAGGTGTCAACACTTAGTAACGTGACAACCACAAATTACTGCCAGGGAGTAATGACTGCTCGGGTCCATAGCCCTGCCACTGGCACTTGGTTCATACTCCTTTTGATGATCTAGCCGGCATGAGGCGAGTCGGGTATTTTCTCCCTAGAAATTTAGAGGCTTGGAGGACGGCCCACCATTTTCAATCATCAAGTCAAGCACAGTGGCACACACTTGTAATCCCAGCACTTGGAGGCTGAGGCAGAAGGATCACAAGTTCAAAGCCAGCCTGAACTACACATCAAGACTAAGGCTCAAAACCAACCAATCAATTAATTAAAGCAAAAATCAAGATGAATAATGTTGTAACGCAACTTTAAAAATCGAAAGCAAAAAAAGATCCAGGCTGAACAAAATACCAAAGTTTCAAGGAAAAGCCATTTAATAACGTTTTTTGCCTTGGGGCAAATTAAATCAACAAACTTCAGTGTATTCTTTCTGCAAATAGAAAGGGGTAGGTATATAGATAGTCGTCTCTGTGGGGCGGTTGGAGGGGTAATGCATATGAAGCCGCTGGTGCTGAGAGGGACGGAGCAAGCAATGGATGATATCACCCATAAGAACTTGCCACACTCAGGGTGAGAGGGACAAAATTCACTTGTGGGTTGGCTCATCCTTTTCTTATTGTTGTCCACCCTGTCTGGTAGGAGGAAATAATATTAACAGTTAACTCAGTGATGTTTGTCCTCTAAATCTGGCCTCACAAACGTGAACAAATATTGACGCACTGGAGCCAGCACCCAGACGGACCCATTTCTTCTAACTTTGAGTCTCATCTCCCTCAAGGTTGGGGCTAAGGGCCTCTAAGCACCCTGTGTCCTCAACCTTCCTGCTCTCTTGCCATGCTCTGTGTCCCTGCCCTAAAAACCCTACAGGGTTCTTGTGGCAACACTGATGGATGGGTGGGAGTAGAGATAGAGATGTGTGTGCAGATGTGGTAAGAAAACCACTGTATTGGTTACTTCTCATATCGCTGTGAACAAACTACCTGACAGAAACAACATGGGGTAGGGGTTTTTGGGCTCTTGAGGATTTCAGTCCATCCCATTAGGGCAGGCACGGTGAAGTAGCTCCATCCAGGGAAGCAGACATACGAGGCAGTAGCTTCTCAATGATGGAGCAGAACGCAGCGAGAGTGTCTTGGTTAGCTTTCTGTGGCTGTGATGACTATCATGGCCAAAAGCAACCTGGGGAGGAAAGGGTTTATGTCAGCTTACAGGCTGTAGGCCATCATGAAAGCATGTCAGGGCAGGAACTCAAGTCAGGAACTGAAGCAGTGACCATGGTGGGATGCTGCCCACTGGCATGTTTCTCATGGTTTGGTAAGTCTGCATATGGATTTTCCTGGACCACCTGCCCAGGATGGCACTGTCCATAGTGGATTGGGCCCTTCCACACCAATCATGAATCAAGAAAAAAGTCCCACAAACATGCCCATAGGCCAATCTGATGGAGGCATTTTCTCAATTGAAGTCCCCTCTTCTCAGGTGACCCTGGCTTGTGTCAAGTTGACAAACTAACAGTCAGCAGAGAGAGCAAGCTAGAATCCTGGGCAGGAACAATTTCTAAAGGCCCACTCCTATCCCCGAAGGCCCATCCCGGATGGTGTACTTCCTCCAGGCAGGCCCCAACTCCCAAAGGCCTCACTTCCTTCAGGTGAGCTCCACAAATAGACACCAAGTGTTCAATACCTGAACCCATGAGGGACATCTCCTATCATTCCTGGAATTGTCGTCATGCTTCCTGTGTGATATTGTCACAGATTCCTTGCTCTGTGAGTTATGACTTCATGTGAAATCTAAGTGAAAGACAAGCAAAGGTTTCCTAACTGTGAGCAGCAGTTCTCTAGTGGATTACGAAATTTCATGTTCTGAATGAGTTAGAGCTCAACAAAGAAAGAAAGAGGGGAAGAAAGGAAGGAAGGAAAGAAGGAAGGGAGGAAGGGAGAGAGGGAGAGGGGAAAGAAGGAAGAAAGAAAGGAAGGAAGGAAGAAGACAGGAAGAAAGGAAGGAAGGAAGGAAGGAAAGAAGGAAGGAAGGAAGACTTGGAGAAAGAAAGAAAGAAAGAAAGAAAGAAAGAAAGAAAGAAAGAAAGAAAGAAAGAAAGAAAGAAAGAAAGAAAGGAAGGAAGGAAGGAAGGAAGGAA